TTGATAACCCACCTGTTTCGCAATTTTTTCCCGTAAATCCAGGTTTGCATATGCATTTATAGCTTCCATGTGTGTTCTCGCACTGTCCGCCATTTTGGCATGGCTTTGAGGTTTGGCATTCATCAATATCTGCCCCAAATAAAAAACTTGTAAGAGGGGAGAGCAGGGGAGAAAATTTTCTTTTTGGTCATACCTAGTTCTAGTCATATTCACTGACTGTTATCACGTACATTTGACTCTCTCTAATCCCTCAATACAAGAGAAAGGAAATTAATACCAGTAATATGAAAAACTTTGAGCCTGCATGAAGATCTGGATGATCTGTATTGCATGCCCCCCTCAAAGTAAGTTTGTACGTGTCCTTACTTCATATTTTGTTTCCCAGGCCTGAATTTGTTTTTTCCGTCATATATCTACGAATATTTCACATTCTTTTTTTCTTTGCAGTTCTCGAACAACAAAATTAGAGCTTAAAATGATTTGAACGTTATTTTAATTGCTCACAACTTGGGAGTTTACTGTTCAGTTCTTGGAATTAAAAAGAAAAAAAGAACAGGCTTCGGTGATTGTAGATCCTACCAACTATTTCATACCACGGGATTAGCCTTAAACTCCAGAAATATTTCTTCCTTGAGATGACACCAATAAATTTGTGCCACAGCGGGCCAGAAAGATTCTTAAATCTGTCAAGAGTTCATTAGCTTTCTGAAGGATCTTCTTCGCTATTTTTTCGCCATAGATTCATGCAATCAATTGAAATCTCGAAGGTCACCGGTTCGAATTTCACTCGAATCGATTTTTGAAAGTGTACGGTCGAAATTTTAACCCACCTGTTTCGCAGTTTCGTCCGGTAAATCCAGGCGTGCATTTGCATTCATAGCTTCCATGTGTGTTCTCACATTGTCCGCCATTTTTGCATGGATTTGAGATTTGGCATTCATTGATATCTACCCCAAAGGAAAAAAAAAATTTAAAGTGAAAATTATTATACACATGTACACATAAGGACAGTCCAAGAGAAGAGAGGGACGGGGCGATATATTTTTGCTCAATCACACGTTTCAACATATCGTCGACTCCCGGGAATCCTCGAAAAAGGAGTATGTCTAAAGATTAATACTTTTCGCCGAAGGTATAAGCATACTATTGAATAATACTCGAGTCACAGTCGAGAAGATGATTGAACAATAGCTCATTGAGTCTGAGAAGGAAAAATTTGTATTGGTGTTACGGTTTTGTTGATTATCAGAACAAAAACATGAACTTGTTTTTTTCTTTACTTCTTGCTTGTCAGGTATCAAGGAACGGAGACAAGTAGTTTGGTTTGTAGATCACATAATGACAGCAAGTCATTTTTCTCGTAGAAACTGCCATCTTTTTTCCTTGCCGATTCGTACTGAAACTTCGCTTTACCTTACGTTTGTTCAAAATGTAAGATTTTACCGCTCAGTTTGCGAGAATTTTTTTAAACAAGCCTAGGTTCTTTTAAATTTTTTCAGCTGCTATATATCACTGTTTATAATCTATCAAATATTTTTGGCTTATACGCGATTGGTCTAAACGCATCCAGTGAGCAAATATGCCCAAGCTAGAACTTAATATCTGACGATACACCCCAAGTGATATTCCCCAATTTTCAAACCTGACATTAACTACGATAAAAGTGTTCGTTTAAAATTTAATTCAAGATGAGAGCGCGTTTAGCTTTTGTTACCGGAGAAGGAACATTTTTGTTTGTTCGTGAAGTAGTACCAGGCAACACTGAAAAGTCATCCCACGCGCAGCAAACACTACACTGTTCGTAAACATTTTACCCACGGGCAGCAAACGGTACATTGCTCATAAAAATTTTACCCACGCGTTGCAAAAGTATTGCGGGAGGATAATAAACTCAAGAGCCTCTATTTGGCGTGAACAAATGCTCGCGTATGTATCCTTGGATGTTGTCTGTTCCTCGAAGCTCACAGTTTTGCTGGAGCTTCGATCTCGTATAAACTGCTCACATCTCGGAAAAGATAATGTCCACGGACAAATATTCGTGCATGTTTTCGCCCCAAATGGAGGTTTTTCCTTAAACATCCCTTGCATTCAAGGAACGTGACTTCCTAGAGATGACGCTAATAAATCTTTGCCACAGCCAGTAAGATTCTTAAGTCTTGAACTTCTTCGCTTTGCGTAGCGGCTTCACACAACCAACTAATATTACGAGAGTCACAACTAAGTATATCACTCGAATCAATTTTAGAAAGGGTAAAATCCGAGATCAACACGTTACCTCAGTGTCAACTCAATAATTTGAATAATGAAGGCATACGACAAGTACTGTAACCGACAGCTTATATTTCGTCTATGGTTGATAGCATACCCGTATCGCAGTTTCTTCCTGTAAATCCAGATTTGCATTTGCATTCATAGCTTCCATGTGTGTTCTCGCACTGTCCGCCATTTTGGCATGGGTTTGAGGTCTGACATTCATCAATATCTATACCTCATATAAAGAAAAAACGCATAAAATTAAAATCATTTTTAACGTAAGGGCTGTTCAGAAGAAGAGAGCAACGTAGGGAATGTCTGCTCGGTCATGCATAAATTTTGTCATGTTCACTGACCGTGTTCACAGTTGGTTCCTCGGAATCCCTGAACACAGGAGCATGTATAGCCATCACCAGATGTGCTGCATGTGGCCCCATTCTTGCAGGGTTTCAATTCATCGCAAGCATCAGCTACAAAAAGAAATGACTCATTTCTCTCTTTTGTTTTTTCTTAAGCAGTGTATATTTATAAAAATTTATTTAAATAACGTTGAAAGTAAACAAAAGTCCTATTATTGTAGGCTATGAAAAAGTTTAGAGAAATTACCTAAGCCAACCTTTTTCACTACATTTATCTGCTCTGCAGTTAAAGCCACGTTATAAAGTTGCATAGCAGCAATTCTTCCTTGGAAGTACCGAATATCCCCGTCTTTCACACCCATCCGGACTTCGTTCTGAGTGGAAAGGTGGACTCTTCCGATATTAGATTGAGCGGTTTGTCTTCCATCCACCCACAATCTTGCAATACCAGTATTGTAGTCAT